AATGACATTTACGAGCACATCAGACAATCGGGCCAGCAAATGTCCGAAAAGATGAAAACCCGGTATGACCGCAAAATGAACAACAAATGGTATTCAACGAAAGTTCACTAGTGTGGTTGCACAACCTGATCCTGTATTGCACAGACAAAACCCTCGGTTTCCCCAAAGAGGTCACCGAAACGTAGCCAGTTGAGGGAGGCGGCTGTATCTACGTGGGGCTCATGTAGAGCCCTGTAGTACCTCCCGTGGAGCTCCTTCTCCTTCCATACGGTCTCCCTGTCGGAAATGCTCTGTACTGCCGGGTCCTGCCATTGCTCGTTGGCTAAGGATAGAGGGGTAAGTCCTTTATCGCTAGAAATGACGTCATTATAGAATGGATCATCTTATCTTGCCAGGAAGTAATGACTGAGGCTGCACACTTCGCGATTATGCATGGTGAGCGCGCTAAGGAAGCCACGCCCACCATGCTTTCGCGGCAAGTACAGCCTCATTACCGACGATCTCGAATGATGCATCCTATGGGACGTCATTGTAGTGCGGACTTTTCTATCCAGGGCGTTATTAAGTTCAGTCTGACTCCACCCGAGTATGCCAAAGGTATACATGAGGACAGGCATGACCCAGCCGTTATATGCGTGTGTCTTATTCACACCGGACAAAAGGCTGTTAAGCACTTTGGTCAAGCGTGCATAAAACACGTCGCAAACTGACTGTTTCATACCAGCCTCATTGATACCGATGTTATGTGACATACCCAGGTATCGCTATGTTTCAGCCTCGGAAAGGGTCCTTAAGTTGACTTATTGACTTATTATTATTATTTTATAATATTTCACCATTTTTAATTATTCTTTTTGTCAATAATTAAAAAACGACTTTACAGATACTACTTACAGACGGTAGCGCGACTATAAATTCTACAAATTTTCAGGGACAGGCGGGCTATGTTTTAGCACGTAACGATCGTTCTCCTGTTCTCTAACCTCCATAAACCTAACCTAGGTTCATGGACTGTAGAGATATCGTTAACAAAGAATGCTAAAAGCATTCTGTCTACGAGAGATATACTCCATGCCTAGCTTGCTATTTATTTATCTCAGAAGGGCTAGAACCCAGAGCCGTAAAGCCAGTTAATAAAAAAATCTATTTATCTATGACCTAACCTCTTTTCTTATTTCTTGAAGTTCCATAATTTTGTTTTGAATTGAATATCGGTGAACGAGAAATGGTATATTAATAAATGTGAAGTCTATTACTTAAACATGTCCCTGTTATGGAAATCTGCACCTATTTTAAGAAAACTGGTCAAATATGTACCTGTAGCGACGCGGGGTAATTGTGTTAAAATTTGGTCCAAATACTATTAAAATTATGTACAAGTGTTTTTATTTCATTTTTTATTTTAGTCCAAAAAATACACCGATGGGTTGCCCCCACATTAATGGAATTAAAAAGACGAGAAGACAAATTAGGAGGTAAAATAACAAACCCGAGAAATACTTTTTTAGAATGGAATTTGGAAGCTGAATTGTTCGCCTTTGGAAAGCGATTGAATGAAGAATTTGATTCAGATTTATTATTACAAGCTTTTACTGATAGATCATATGTTATAAAAGAAGAAATGAAACAAAAGGAAATTGAATTTAATATAAATATGAAAGATAATAAGGAATTAGCAGAAGAAGGTAAATCTTGTTTCATTAAATTCATTAGTGGCATTAGTTTCCTCTGAAAAAAATTTTTCATTTTTTTTATAGAAGAATGGTGGCAAACGAGCACACAGTCTACTTGATACCATCAAGTTGATATCATCAGTAGATGTGGCCCATAGACATATACATTTATCTTCAATTAAGAATCAAAATGTAGATGCATTGTCACCCCCGAGGACTAACATGGAATGGATGAAACTATCTTAAGACGACCCTGTTGATACATCCCAGGGCGTTTAAACGGTTCATGCAGTCTCCAAATAGCTTCGAGTTCACTAAGTTTGACCGCAGCGCTAGCAGTGCTGCTTGACTATCAGAGTTTATGTAAATTATATGGGGGAGGTCTATGTTCAGCGTTGGACTTGTGTGTGGCTGTAATGATGATGATGTCAGGTGTTATTTTGGTGGTTACATACTCTCTTCCACCCTTGCTTTCAAAAATGTGTGAAGCATTAAAATGGATGAAACAAAAGAAACTGATGTTGGGCTGGCTTTTTATTGCTACCCATTATTTGCCAATTCACGGCTTTTTGGAAATGTGAATTTAGAAAATTATTTAACCATATAATTAGCTTTATTATGTACCTATAAAAAAAAGTTTTATTTGAGACCGATCCATATGGGTTAGGAATACAAAGGATCTTAACTTTGAATACTACATATAATTATATTATAATTATTATGCAAGAAATCATATTAATAAAAATATTTTAGTACAGCGTGGTATAGCACTAGCTCTAATTCGGCGAAAACCCGATCGCGCGCCTCCCGCGACACCCTAAATAATTTTGTTTAAATCTGTATTTTCTTATCGAAATATTACATACCAATGAAAAAAAATCAATGTTCTTCTTAGTTCACTTCCATAAATCGTTTTTACAGCTTGGCATTGCGTATTTTACCATGGTAACAAAATTCAAATAAATACCGTCGAGAGAAACAATTAACGCGCGTGACTTTTGTGACTAATAAACGTCGCCAGTTCATTTCGAGACTGTTCATACCCGTGCTTACTGTTCGTACTCTAACGTGAGATCAAATAGCTCAAAAAGCTTGCTTATAAAAGTCATTATTTATGTTTTAGACTAGATATTAACTTTCGAAAGTTCGTTTCACAAAATGTAGTAAAAAAGTTTTCTTTAAATACCAGCCTCCGGCCAAGTTTAATGAACCGTTTTTCTTAACACTACAGCGATTTTCTAAACGGCCAGTAATATTCAAATGATTAAAAGCTTTTTCGTATTGAATTTTTCAGGCAGGAAAAAAAATCCGCCCAATTTTCGAGCAAATGAGTGATATTTACTATTATAAATTTTGCAGGTGAAAAATTTATGGACCACTACATTCAAGTATATTTAGAAACTGTCCTGCCTAAGTTTCCTTTAGAAGGTATCTTAGGAATTAAAGCATATCTCACATGTGAAGAAACATTAGCAAATATATCTTTGCATCTTGGTACTAAAGATATTGTACTTGCATCTGTAAGTTAATTAAAATTTTAAAAATATATAATAGCCATCTAAATACATAATAGAATATCATAATGTATTATTACGTTTTATTTTGTTTTCAGGAATACCCTGTTGATAATTACATTTTAGCAAAAACATTTAAAGCTATAGTTGGTGCTCTTTTGAGATCAGCAGGTGAAGAAAGAGCCGCACATTTTGTTAGAGACTTTGTAATTACTCAGTTACAAGGTAATTATACATAGAATTTGTATAGTATACCCTTTTCACCTAAGTTTTAGTCTAGTCCATAAGTCTTGGAAGTTATCTACGAGAAGTATTCCACATTGCACTTTTAGACAAAAGATGTTTTGCAATGTAGTGGGAGGTGATCGAGAACTGGCTGCGGTCACTTAGCATTTAATGAAGAGAAGTTTTAGGATTTCTTTTACATATTAGAAAAACAAACATATTTACACATTTTTACACAATACAGTAAATATTCATGTTCAGCTAAGTATCATAAAAATATACAACTTTAGTAAACTTGACCGTCTTATTAGCTAAGCATGTACGGAGATTTAGCGATACTCAGTTTTAATCGCCAAAATTAACATCCACAATGTGGTTACAGAAAGTCGAAAATTGAACTAATGAACGCCCATTCTTGCCACATCTTGTTCTTGTTCTCGCTCGTCTGTTGTTTCGCACATTTAGGATACCTTAGCAAGACCAACATTACTCAGCCTTAAGTTTGGCCGACAGTTCCCTGGCCCTGTGCTGCTAATTCAAAAAAATCTTTTTTTAGTAAATTTATAATTTTAAATGTGTGAGGCACATCAGGAGCATTGTGGCAATTATTTATTAAATACATGAATCATTTTAATCATATCCAACGACTATAAAAAAAAATAAAAAAAATTTGGGCTTCATTTGTATTGGCCAGAATCGAACTTGATTCTTTCGCATACTACAAAGTTTTAGGCAGAAGCTTATCTCTATTGACTAAACTAAACGACAAACTTATCATTAGTATTAGTCATTAGTCATAATGAGATTCAGAAAAAACTAACTAGTTTAACTGAACAATAAAGAATAAAGGAAACATATTTATTTTCTTTAAATTAACTGTCATTTCAGGGAAGGATGTAAACGAATACTTGAAGATAGAAGACCCTTGGATAATGCTTGTAGACATATTAGAAAAAGATGGAGTAAAAATTGAACCTAGGCTGATTGGTGAAGTTGGAAAGAATACTTTGCTAGCATGCTACAGAGTGGGTCTATATGTAGACAAGAAATTATTATCTTCGGGTACGTAAAAATTCAATAGTAAACTATGAACTTGTTTTAAAGCAAAAAAGATAAGAATACGCTAATGATAAACCCTTCCAGGATTTGGAGAAACAGTTTCATCTGCTAAAGAAGTGGCTGCATTAGAAGCACTTAAAACGATTTTTGGTACAGAGGATAGCATGGCTCCTATCAATTTTAAAATCCAAGGAATACCAAAAGCAGTGTCAAAGCAAAATAAACAAATATCTGCCAGCTAGATGTTAACATTTACATCATAGAGTTAAAAATAAACATATTTATTAAATAAGTCAATATATTTTCTTTTTAAAAATTAATTTCCATATATACGAATAATAAGTCAAAACAATAAAATATTAAATTTTAAAAATAACTACAGATATACTTTAGGCTAACATTTACACATTTATTACTAAACTAATTCATTTAAGGAAGCATTCATTATACAATCCTAAAATATTTTGGTGCTGAAAATAACAATGCACTAATCATCACAAAATAACAATTGCCTTTAAGTTTATTTCCATCAACTGGGGGCAGAGTCCATAATAAGCTTGCCATGTTTATCTTTAATTCGAATTCTTCCAGAAGCATATCGAGTTTCCGCAGTACCATCATTATAAATTAATTTCACCGTGCCGTCTGGAAATTCACGACGCTGCAAACAGTACCATTTGTTTAAAGGTCGTTAATATTTAATTTGTGCCTTAACTTATGTGTAAGTCTCACAATAGGGCAATCTATAAGCATTCTATAACAACAAGTAATAAAATAAAAAATTTTGTACAACCGACTTCAATATAAATAAAATGAGAACATCATCAATGTATAACTCGTACGAATTAACTTGAGACCTGGGCCGATGACGTAATTGTCAATGTACGGTGTGCAAAATAATGCGTCGTAATATTTTTTTATTTGAAATTTTTGAGATTTGCATGAGATTATTAATAAAAACAAAATAAAATGTTTTGGCAAGGGGTGAAGTAATAAGTGATATACTGTTGCCATATTTATATATTTTAAATATTTATTTTTTATAATATATATAATATTATTTTTAGTTAACGCGTCAAGGAAGGACAAATAAATAAACATACACACTTTCTCATTTATAATATTATTAATTTATTTATTATACACTTTAACAAAAGTCCAAACCAAACAACAAACAATTATCAAAAATATCGAACTAGAGTCGAGACGCGTATCCGTAACAAAAATGCTATCGGTACTGAGCGCGCACGGCCAGCGCGGGACGCGGTGCGGTGAGTCGGGAAGGGGGTCGCATTCCAGCGGAGTCTCAAGTTAATTCGTACGTGTTGTAGTGGAAGTGAATTAAATATGCATTATTGAGGATAACCCAAAAATAACTATTCAGATCTTGATCTATATGGGACCACAAGAGAAGCACCAGTTTTCAATTAAAAAAGGAATCATCACAATCAGTTCACCTAGAAAAAATTTCTGAGGTAATACACATAAAAAAAATAGTTGCATTGAGAACCTCCTTCTTTTTTTGGTTTTGCAAGTAATTTGACACAGAAATCATGAGGTTTTCTTACTTCTTCATCAACATGTATACTATATACAATAAACAATATACTATTAAGGAGGATTAGCCATTAATTGTCACGCTTGGCCGTCGCATTAACGATCGAAGTACCAGGTGTATGGAAAGAAAGAAAGAAAGAACCATTTATTTGATATGGCAACTAACACTGGTCCCTGTTGACGGACTGAATATTGCATGCTTAGCTTAAACGAGATTATTATACCGCCATCTATCGTTAGCCATGAGATTATTCTAGTGTTTACCATAGTCACCTCTTACAACAATCTCGAGACGAAATGGATGAGTAATGGTATTTATTACACTCATATTTTCGATTAAAGTGATTGAGTGTACACTATAATCCCGTCCTATGGAGATAGCTTTTTGTATAAGAGGATACGCTTATGCATACCCGCCTCGTGGGCGCAAGTTATGTTATGGGGTTATGTCGTACTAGCACCAACTAAAATTGCATGGTTTTCTACCCTCGTCCTATTTTAGCAGGGCCACAGCAACGATTTCACGCACCTCCGTTGTCTAATCAGCTACCTATGCCAACTCTCCTCGATGGAGGACTTTTCCTTCACAGATAAGGTGCCCCAGAACACATGGCATGCCTAAGTCTTGCACACATGGCTAATCTCCATTGTGTCTGGAAGCTAAGACCATAATTCGGTCTGTAATATTATTAATTGGTAATCAATACACATTTTAAACTTTCCATTATTTAACAGAAAACTTGCTAAAAAAACATGAACTTCATCATGATCGTCAAAAAGTTAGCACATGACATAACTTTATAGTTCTGAAGAATGTGGAATCAGTTTTAACAGTTGATATATAAAAATTGCACTAATAATTTGCTCCATTTCTTGTTTACAAAATGCTTAGACTTCTACTAAAACCTTGACTAGAGAAAAGTACAATTTAATAAATAGTAAATCTATTTAATTGTACTTTATAGGTAATAAGGAATGTTTCATTAAAGTATATTGTTTTGCCAATAATTACAGTTGCCAACCAACCTGCCAAACATAGTAACTAAGGCAAAATTTCCCTAAGAATCAATCTTAGGGGTATATGTGACTATAATTAATTGAATAGATAGATGTTATATTTCTATGTGGACCGAGGGACCACAGTTTAGATATTTGGTTCTTTTATCTTTAACACTTTGGGACTTGTTATTTAGTTAATAAGTTTTACAAATTCTTTACTAAATGTCTGCAACCACATAAATTTAATTTTAAGATACTTTGCAAGACATGACTTGTGGACTGTTACATTTTAAGAGCTGTAATTCTTTACATATATACTTTTTTACTAGCCTACTATAAAATTTTTCAATAAGAGAAAAGATTTTGGGTGAATAACTTTTGGAAGCAAATATTCAAAGTGGCGGCAAATGCCTTAGCATAACCAGTATTGTCTATACCTGGGAGTTGTAGAGGCAATCCAAACACGTAAGCTTACTGCAGCATTGTTGTTATAGCTTTGAACATTTCATCATTAAAATCTAAATTAAAGTATCACAAAATTAAGTTATAATAATATTTGCTGTGGGCACCTAACCTTAGTTTTTAACTGGATATTGGTATTATGGCAATTAACCATGTAAAATATGGTTACCTATTAAAAGTTATAAGCATAACAAATATTTGCTTGCCCATTTTTACTACAGTGACAAGTTCTAAATAATCAGAAGCTAGTAACTGTGGAAAAATTATTAAAAGTGCTTCTGACAACAATGTTTGACCGCGTTGGTCATCCGAAAGTTAATAGAAAAAGGTGAGTTTTTTTTAATACTAAATTACCTTGTGATCATTAGCATGTACTTCAACTTGACCATTACTAAAAACTATACGCTTTTCGCCATTTGCAGAAATAGTCAGCGCGGCACCGTCAGGGAAGCGCCACTCTTCTCGAACATGTTCATTTTTCGGGTCATAGTAACGCACACTACCATTAGGGAGGCGAATCTCTGACGAACCATCCTTGTACCGTTTCTCTACTTGGCCACTAGGAACAAAAGTTATGATTATACATTTTTTTATAGAACAATAGTAAAAGACAAGCAGACAATCCACCTAATGGTAAGTGGTTGCTGTGGCGCATAGACATTTACCCTGAATTAAGAATCAAAATGCAAATCCGTAATTACTCCTGAGGACTGAGATGGAATGCCTCGTCTCCAGTAAAAATGGTCTCCAGTTCTCTACACTCACCATATGAAGGACAGCAGCATTAATCTGCTATTATATGCTGGTATTCTGTGAGAGCGTGGTCATACCCTGGTCGATCTGACCTATTTGTGCAACAACCATAATATGGCTGCAGTGTGGCTCTAAAATGTAGTGGTAATTATACATAAATAAATTGGTTTAAAGACAGAGAACTATTTGTTATTTATTTAAAGAGTCAACAACAAAATGTGGTCACAACATATAATTAATAACAAATTAAATTGAGCTTGAAGTGCAATGCAAAGTAAAATGCTAGTTTAATATTTCTATTCTTATACACACACAGGGTCTTACTCATAAAATAGATGTGTATTTAAAAAGTTCTTAAAATTTCTTATTTTCACTAAAAAGAGATGGCTACAAAGATAATTAATAATTAATTTAAACAAGTAATAATCAACAATTACAATTACAAAATACTTTTACTTTTACCAATTTTGTAGGAATCAAATAGTTAAATAAGTATAGTAATACTGGTAATATAAAGTTTAACTAATAGACTACTATTGTACTTACTCAGAAAATTCTAAAACTTCTAGTCCATCTGCATGAGTAGTATGAAATGTTTTGGTTTCAGCATAAAAGTATTTTATCCTCCCTTCATTATAGAAATTTTCTTTAACATCACCATTGTAATAAACAAATTTGCTGTATTTTCCATTGGCTGAAATAAATTTTACATTGCCATTTGGGAATCGCAGCTCTCTTGATCCATCAGGCTTTCTTATTTCTGTTGGATTTAAATTAGTTTTTGACAAACTACTATTGCTTGCATAAGGTTCAGGAGTAACAACCATTCTTGAATCTTGATATTGCTCTTTGTTTACAACTGTGGATAGCCTTTGATTAGAAGAGGGGTTACTTGTTAAGGTAGGAGACTTAGAAAAGTTATCACTATTTGAATAACCTATTGGTGAATTTCTTAAAGATCTTTGATTTCCATTAGAATTGGATACTTTTGATGTCACAAAATTTGATTCATTACATTTACTATAGTGAGAACCTGAAGAATCCTGACTAGAGCTTGATTTACGTATGAAATAACTGCTGGTGTCAATGTGGTTACTATTTTCACTAGAATTAGATAAAGTTGACCTTCTACTTTTAGGAGAGCTATTTTGAAACCTTTCAGTGTAGATTTTTTCTAAATTATTTTCATCTTCACTATCTGTAACACTTTTATCAGAATTTGTACCAGTATTTTCTATGTTTGAATCTTTATAATTGATTTGATCTTCAATATAATGAGATGGTGAATTGCACTTCACATCAACATTCAAAGTTTTATTTCTCTCCGCTTCACTTATGGTATCTTTTTGACTAAAATATTTTGCATATCTTGAAGTGACATTTAAATTTGGAACACTTTTTGCTCTGGGCCTAATACCTTTATTCTGTGATTGGATTCTTCTACTCCTACTTTGTCTTTCAATTTCATAACCTTTATATTTTATGTTAGGATCTAAATTAATTTCAGACCGTGAATCTTTAGAAACCATATTTGAAAGTTTATTGTTTATTTGTTCAAGATACTTCAAATTTGTTAATCTTCTTGTCACTTCATTACTATGCTGAATTCGTCTATTTTCTTTTTTTAGTTTTTCAACTTCATCTTCCAAGCTCTTTTTTTCTTTTTCCATAATTTTCAATTGATTGCGAAGTCTTGCTATTGTTGATGTGGATTTTACATCTTTAACTCTTATCTCCTCTTTAAGGTCTTTTATTTCTTTCTTCAAATTTATAACTTCATCTTTGTCTTTTTTATTTAATCTCCCTCTCATATCCCTAACATATCTTTCATATAGTTGTTTTTGTTTTGTTATCTTTTCTTTTTCTTCGGCCAAATAATACTCGGACAAAATTTTTTCCTCATTGAATTTTTGTTCGAAAGAAATTTTTTCTTCAAAGAATTTTTGTCTTTCTAAATCAATTTCTTCACGCATTTTTGTCAAGTTTGCATTTTCTTTTCTGAATGTCTCTATTTCATCTTCTAGTTCACTAAGTCTATCTTTAAGCAACTCACTTGTTGCAATCAGTTTGGCATTCATTTCAGCCATATTTGCTTTCATTGTGTCAGTGTCATCAGGGGTATTGCCATTATGACATTTCTTGTCTTTTTTATTTTTCACACCAGTTACTATAGCCTCCTTATCTTCATTACTTTCATTACTATTGATTTTATCTTTTTGTTCATTTTTGCTTTGCTTTTCTTCCCTATAACATGCACAACTAGAACTTGCTGGCTCAACAGTTATGCAAGAACAGCAGCTTGATATGGAGGAGCATGTCTCAACACATTCTGTGCATTCACTTTGAGACATTTTGGGATCATTTCCACTTCCCTCATCTGGTAAATTGGGTTTAATATGCAATAAATCAGGATTTTTAGAGAGACATCTTTGCATAACTAGAGGTGTACTCTCACCAGAGTATTCAAATTTTTTTCTTTGTAGAAAACGATTAATAAAGGAGTTTTCAATATTAAAACTCTCACGAGCTACTTTACTTTCAAGTAAATCAAACATATTTTGTTCTGCTGTTTCTTTTTCTTGTCTCATCTTATTAATGTTGTCATCACAGCTTATATCTGATATTACACTCTTAGCAGGGGAGTCAAAGTTTTTGTAATAATCACTTTGTTTAAGCTGTTGTAAAAAGTCATTTTGTTCTTTAGTAAGTACTGCTGCCCATGTTTTCCCATTATTTATTTGAAGTGGATGTTTTCCTTTGGGTAAATTTATAATTTTTTGGTCCAACTGTTCTATAAGTGGCTTACCGGAAATACAAAATTTATTTAATTGTATTGTTCCTTTTTTATTCGATTCTTCTAGTACCTTCACAGATTTTTCCATTTCTTTAATATTGGAGTTAACATTTTTATTGTTTGGAGATGATGGTTTTGAGACTATAATCTGAACTTCAACTTTCTTTGCAGTAGTTTTAGGTTTGTCAAATTTTTTTGCTTCTTTCTGGGCAGTTTTTGTTTGTAACTTCTTTTGATGCCATGGTAAAGATTTAGTATGTTGAATAACCAAGTCTTTCTTTTGTAAACCAAAACGAGACATGCCTTCTCCTTTTTTAAGATAGGGTTTTTTACCATTTTGAATCAAAACATTTTTGTTCTGTTTACATTCATTTCTATTAACATTGTCTTCATTTTGTAGATTTTCAATTACCATGGCTTCAAAATTTTTTTTTGGACTCAATATAGGCATCTCATCTAATGCAATCTGTTTATTAGTCGATTTTTCTTTGCTATTATGTGAGGTTAAGTTCAAATTACCAGACTCTGATTCAGATAAAATCTTACTTTGCATGGATGTGGGTGAATTCAGAATAAACTCCGATTCTTGAGAAAGATTTAGTACGGATACGCCGTCTACCAAATCACGTTCTACTACATTCCTCGTCGAATTACTTGTGTTCCAGCGAGGAGACGTTTCATTTGAAGAATCTTGATGTGTATGTAGTAAGCTTCGAAATGTATTGTAGCTAGTACTATTGCTAAAATGACTTACAATTTCAGTTATGTTTGACGAAATTTCGGAACAATCTTGATATTGTAACTGTTGTTTTTGCAATTTCCCGCGTTGTAACAACTGTAACTGCCGCAACACTTGAAGTCTTTCTAGTATTTGCGAGGGCGACATGGAAAGATCACTTTCCGAATAGGACTGATCCATTTTAATGCTTAAATGTTTATATCCTAAATATTATAACTTCATTAGCTTTATGAAAGTTTATAAACAGTTTCAAACAAAAACGGATTAGCTCTTCTTTGAGTTTGACTTTGACAGACCTGAAAAAGTTGCCATACACAAAGGAATATAATATAGTCGTCGGCAGATTGTATGACTCGTTATTATACAAACGGCGTCGTCTGTTTCCAAACGCTAAGTATTTATATTATAATATATAGTATTTACAGAAGAAAGAATTAATATTTATAAAAGTCGAAAGTTATACATTATCGGACAAATATGAAATGGCGAAGAAGCCAAGAAATTAGGATCTGCCTAACTCTAATGATCGGATTACGACGTAGACTATTACAAAATGACGAGGCACTTTACAATTATTTGCCTTCGGCATTTCTCAAGCCGGCGAGAATTTGCAAGCAGACGACGCCGTTTCTATAATGAATTATACAACCTGCCGACGACCTAATCACTACGTTTTCCATATACCTACATCCTAACTCTTTTTGAAGTGAAAACTTTTTAGAATCGTGATTTGAAGCCCGATGAAACGAAAAGCTACAAAGAGACTACAGGAGAGAAACAAATACGTCTATAGGATTTAGCCTGCAAGAGAATGAGATAGAATACAGTATAGTAAGCGACAGTAACCTAATACGAACTCAAAAGATTGTGGTTTCGAATCCGCTATTCGGCTACTGTCGTGAAGGAACCACTCTTAACATAGCGTTTTTAGCTTACCAGTAGTGGTTAAAGGGAATATTAGTAATGTCATTGCTTGTATTATTTTTTATAGTGTTTTCTATTATCTTAGTCTCCTCTTTGAGTAGTGATTTAAAAGAGGTGAATATACATTTTAACTGTTAAATAAACAATATAAAAAATTGACAATATTGGATAAATTTATCATATATTATAATACCAATCTATTCATAACAATTCGCAACAAAAGCAAATTAGGGATTACGTTATTGCGGTCATTTTGTTGTTTATTTACAAAATAAAACATAGGCGTACAGTTTGCCCTATTGGTTTCTTGGTTCGTTTATGTGTCCGTTTATTTGTGTTATTGATTCACCAACTAACTGAATATTTATATTCAGATTAGTGTCTTTCTAAGTCTTCGGGACAGTTTAATTTACAAATGAATAATCATCACATAGAATAGTAAAAGTACTGATTCCACGCGAACAAAGTTGCAGTCACAGCTAGTTTTTAATAATATTGAGAGTGTGCGTAATATGTAAAACTCGATACCAAAAGGAAAGTGGTGTAACATTCCACAAGTAAGTGAATTTACAGCTAATATTAAACAAATTAAAACTATTTTATAATATAGGTACTTAAAAATTCTTTACTAAATTTAATATCGTAAATACCAACATGTTTGGCTTTATATTACAGTTTTGATAAAAATAAAATTAAGTAGGGTTGTCAAGTTTCTTGTCTACAATACTTATCGATAATCTTTCTTACTCATATCTGTTGACAACCAAAGTTTTTTTTTTTATAGAATAGGGTGACAAACGAGCACACAGTCCACCTGATGGTAAGTGGTTGCTGTGGCCCATAGACATCTACATCTATCCTCCATTAAAAATCAAAATGCAGACGTGTTGTCACCCGTGAGGACTAAGATGGAATGCCTCGTTTCCAGTAAAAAGGGTCTCCGGTTCTCTACACTCACCATACGAAACACAGCAGCATTAAGCTACTATTTCACGCTGGTATTCTGTGAGAGCGTGGATATTCCCCGGTCGAGCCGACCCATTCGTGCTACAACTATACTACTACTATAACTGCAGAATGGCTCTACCACGTGCACGTGCAAAGTCACTGACAACAGATAATTTTCAAATTTTTATTAATTAACATGTTTTCAACCGAACCTTTACTAAAGTTATGGCGTAAAAGCATAAATATTGTGAATTTACGTCCGAAAAAAATGGTCATCTTTGTTCTAAACATCTCACTGACGACTGTTTTATTAGACATGATAAATGCACCACTTTTAAAAAGTACAGTATGCTGACAATATTTTCTGGTAGTACATACCAGAACCAGAAAGTATTAGATTATTATTTCGAATTTTTTTTTCTTCTCTTCTCAATTCCCCGGAAACTGAAAGGACCTTAGCCAAGTGTAAAAAGGTCGCCTGATGATAATTTAGTGTTACAAGACGTACATTTGTAAAATCTATTTAAATATGACCAATTTATTATGCAGTTGGCTGCAGGTGACTCAGGACCGTGCTTTGTGGCATTTCTTGGGGGAGGCTTCTGTTCAGTAGTGGACTTGTGAAGGGCTGTAATGATGATTAATGATGATGGCATTATATTAATATGTTACATAAATAGAATGGACGTAAATAGGTAGGGTACAGAATTTTTATTGATATATTTTGTCACGCTGTCTTATCTCTGTTATTAGTTCCGTGGACGTTCACTTCTGCTATCAGCACCAAAATGGTGCGAATCAAATCGCCTCATTATGTCACAGTGTATAGCCAGTCCATAGAGGACAGTGAGAATACGTTAGTACTATGGAGTGTAGACTGGAGTGAAGGAGTACAGACTGTATAAAAAAGTGTCCGTCGGAAAGCGTTAAATAAAGGTGGCGCCACTGTAGCGACAGTCTAAATTTTAAAGAACGTATTATAATTTTTTTATTGCACAGACTTTCACCATAATTCTTTTTACAATAATTATATTATTTTATATGCGAAATTTTTATTTTCAAAATCACTCTCATCGTATTCTACGGCGATTTAATATACCCCGTAGCTACTCGAGCGCTGCAGTGGAGAGTTTTTGAACTGCTTACAGATGGACACTTTTTCAACTATTCTCCTATGAGAGTTAGTACTCCTTACTTCTACACTCGATAGTTAGGACTCCCATTAGTTTATGGTGAGAATGAAACATCTGTAGACAGATAATCCTATCTGTCTTAAGGAAACCTATCTTTTTTGTGTGTCCCAAAATTTTTTTTTTTTTAAAAAAAAAAACAAAAAAAAATAAACAAATATTGAACCAACATAACACGCGCCATACGAAAAAAAAAAATATATATATATATATACAAGAAATATATATATATATATATATATATATATATATATATATATATATATATATAAAGCTTTTCAATAGTTTATTTTAAACATTGATCCATCGGGATTAAGAATAAAAAGGATCTTACTTCTAATACTATAGTTATTTTATAATTAGTATGAAGGAAATTATATTATTAATAAAATATTCGAGTACAAATAAGCGAAGTGCGAAGCAGGTGCCTTCCGCTACACCCTTTGACACCCTAAGTATTTTTGTTGAAATATTCCATACTGATGAAAAGAAATACTATTTTTCTTGTTAATTTGCTTCCGTAAATCGTTTTTGCAGATTAGCACTGCACATTTCACCATGGTAACTTAAAATTAAAATAAATACCGTCGAATGAAATAATTTATGCACGTGACTTTCGTGGCTAATAACGTCACATTTGCCATTTCGAGACTTTTTATATTAGCTTTTGTTTAACCCTCACAAATATATTGGTTGAATTTTTGGGATATTTGAGAGACGACCCCTTAAATTGCTTTTATTTAAATTAAATTAGATTAACTTAGAGTTACAAGAAGTGTAAAAAAACACTATAATTATTTATAGTAGGCTAAAATGAAATGCAATAATATTAAAGATCTACAATATTTTATTGAAATTTTTTCTTAATGAGTCTACTTTAAGAAATTTAATGTATGTATGTTTCACGCTGGATAGTAGAGTGTTCTGTGCTGGCAACACTGATCTTAACTACTAAATAAATGTCAAAATTTTTGTCCATACTTATTCAAAAAACATCTGGTCATCACCAAGTTAATCGCAAACTATCAGCAATGTCTAAAAGAAGTAGTTTTCATAAGATACCAAGATTCAAACCTGAAGTCAAACTGCTCAAAAATCGTTCCGGACATTCAATGAATATATTCAACCGAAAAGAAAAAGTTGAAGTTTTACCAGAACCTATAAAATCTGCATCTGATAAAAAGCTATACAAGTAAGATTATTATATATCTTTCTCGAAAATGATTTTTCTTTCTTTTCATAATTTTTTATATGAATACTGTTTCGACTATGACAAACATTCTATACGGCGTTTAAATTGCTATTCAGTCAAAAATCCAAAATAAAATGATAATTTCATGAAAGCAAATTTTTATTTACCACCGGTTCGGAAAATATTTATGTCCTGGGAAGAACCAACAAAAAATTAAATTTACAACAATTATTTACATCAATTTTATTAGAAACCAACATGATAGCAATCACCTCATTCCCATTGGTTATTTTTTACTTATGTATTTTGTAATGAAAAAAAAAACAGGGCTTGAAAACTAAATAAATTGAACCTTGTAAACCTCAAGTCTTACCTTTAGAGTAACTACCTAAGTTAGCGATTTCAAATCACTACTGTTCTTAAGATCTAATTTTTAACTTACATTTTAAAAGGGAAGTTGAACAATCTTGTATGTTGAGAACCAAAGTACTGGAATCCTAAACTTAAGCTATTGCAATCAAAGCTGCAAACATCTCGTTTATCCTGTCAGGTTTGTGGAAAACTAGTTCAGTCTAGAAACAATTAATTTATCCTAAAATCAGATTTGGCTGGTAGCCAAGTGTTTTGACTGCATATTTGCTCAAAACTAGTTTAGACAGTAATTTGAATAAAATAAATATGAATTATTCAGGGAGACTTATGGCTGAGGGAGCCCTTTTCCCTCTTCCCCTTCTATTTCAATAAACTTGTGGTGAAATGCTTTAAATTGGCACTCAATAATGAAATTTTCAAAATTTTTAATATAGGATGACAGTGAATAAGGGGGACAGGGTGGTCTCCATATATTGACACTGAAATTATATCGTGGACCATAAGAGCAATCTATGATTTAAAACCTAAAGATTGTGGAAATTAATATATGAACTTAAGCCTCTCAATACATTTACAAAAATGTATACATAAATATAAGTAGTTTTAAAATATTATGTAATTTTCACTCTTTCATGAGGGACAGAAATATGCTAGTAGTACTAGTTGCTCAACTTCACAGACTCACTATTTTATCCCTAGGGCAGTGTTTATGCTTTTACAACAAAATTAAAGTATATAAAATTTGTCCACTGTAAAGTTCAAGAACTTTATTAAATGAAGGTTGTAGAAAAATGGTTACTATAGTATTAAGGAATTAATGTATAAAACAACCTTTTGGATTGAGAAGAATGGTAAATTAAACATAAGAATGACATTCTATAGGTATTATTTTTATTTATATTGAATAAGAAAGTTTCTTTTTCTATTTTTATGGTATTGGTAACTTATCGGTGTGTTATTTATAATTTTTACATTTTTGACAGGGCACTGTGCCTGATAATGCCTCCCCCTTTCAGCTCATTGTAACAAAAACAATATGAAACCAATATATAAAAAATTTAACTACAGTTTATTTGTAAACCAGACCCAAGCTCTAACAACCCTTTTTATAAAACAGGATTTACGGTTTCTAGTAAATGAACCATGGTAGCTCAGATGATTAGCTCTCACTGTAATGCAGTAACAGTGTACAAGCAAATTGGGTTTGATCCCCCTGCATCAATGAAATTATTAATTGCGACTTTAAGTGGTGATTTACCACCTGCTCGGCAGTGAAGGAAAACATTGTGAGGAAACCTGCATGTTTGAGAAATAGGAAAAAAAATTTAAAAAGGTGAAGTTCACCAACATACCTTGGGGCAGCGTGACGGACACTTTCTTGCCCTAAAACCCTCTCAGAAATGAGAGGAGGTCTGTACCCAGCAGTGGCACGTATATAGGCTATAACTTTAATTTTTTTTAACAGTTTCTAGAAATATGATTTCCATAAATTATTGATTGTGCAAATGTGTGTAATAATTATTGTAATTTTAACTTTTCTCTTTCTTAATATACACAAATACTGCTGTCCACTGCTGAACATTTGGCCCCCATCAATTTGTAATATTTTACTTATCTGGGGTATTCTCAAGTTGTCTTACCATATAAGATTACTCAGACTTCTTACCAACTAGGCCTAACTGGTAAGACCACAGGGGAAAAAAATTCCTGCTGCCTCTTTCATGTTCATGTTTATGCTTGTCTAGCACTATCCCTGCTTATCATAAAAGAAAGCAAACATCAGTCCAATTAGGTCGAAAAACATACATGAAATTTATGATTTTGACAAAATTAAACTAAATTAGGTAGGTAGTGGTGAAAAATTCCTTCTATTTTATGGAATAGGACTACTGAGAATTTTTTTATGCAGTATGGCAATGACAGTTTTTATATTATTTTGAGTTGTCATCAGGAAGATCCTACTTGAGATGGTCAATCAATCAATCAATCAAAAAAAGGACAAAAAGGTGGATGGAAATTAATAATAAACTCCTTGATTCAGGACTATAAGGCTAGAAAATGGTTTGACAGCCCTCCTCATCTCAGACCCAAGCAGACCTGCTGTGACTGAAGATCATAGCTCCAGTGAGGAGGAAAGCAGTTATACAGATGATAGCTCAGGTCCTGAGAGTGATGGCAACAAATCTGTACAGTCTGGTGGTAGTGACCATCATGGAACAAAGAGGCATAATGAGTTTGATGAAGAGAAACTGGTGAGAAACTTTTAGTATAACATATAAATTAAATAATAGAAAGCTTATAGAAAATATTAATGAATTTTAAGTAAACATAATTAATTTTTTAAATGTGGGAGTACAAAAATTTTGTGTATCATTTGTTTGCAGTTGAAGAGAGTTAATATTAATACTTATTTTTGTTTAGTATTTTTAACTGCTTACTATTATTTATATTTATAAATGTAGAAAGTTCTTGCAGTCTTATGAGGTTCTGGTAGTATGAGGCACGGTAATATTATATAAAATTACTGTGTATGAGGTGTGTAATACATTATTCAAATTATGGCTGTGTAACATAATCTATTGCTCAATATTGTTTTGGTGTTTTTTTTTGTTTTGGAATTGATTCCGAATTATGACTAAGAGATAGGTCAGAAGTAAGCCCTCCCGGAGAGCTATCTTGTATAAATATATAACTGTTAATATATATTTTTTGTGCATTGGAGCTATCAATAAATTGCAGGGAGAAAAGAGAGATAGCAATTTTTAAAATATATGCTAAATCTGGGGGTGTTTTAAAAATCCTTATCAGAATGACTTTTAGACTCCAAAGTCTTTGTCAGTCAACAGTCTTTGATTACTTTAAAATTTTATTTATTTCTATTATATATTTATATATCTGAATTATTACCAGTACAGTTTAATTATCTTTATATATAAAATTCTATTACTGTCCGTTAGTTTTGCTAAAACTCAAAAACATCTCGACCTATTTTGATGAAATTGAATGGAACCATAGATGGTTTAGATTTACATTTGGACCCGGTAGGTGGCGCTGTTGTCGATATCCATAAATCACCCGTGCGAAGCCGGGACGGATAGCTAGTCAATAATAATATAGTTGTATGTCCTATAATTTTTTCATTAATTCATTATTCATCACTGCCTATAAAAAGTCCCCCTCTGGACATAAGCGTCCTCCATAGATTTCTTCGTTCGGGGTGATATAATTTGTCATAAATATTACGCATGTTAAGCAGGTGGGCAACCGCAGTTTTTTATTATTCTGATTTGATTTTTTTTTAAAGTTCTATGTTAAATTTCTATGTTTAAAACAGTACAATTATTTAGTGCTATCTCTTAAGCCGTCACTACACGACATCATAATCATACATATTTACATAGCACTTCTAAGTAATTGTACAAATTCATTAAATTGCAGTATGCATACTGCTATAATTTCCATGTCCTCCATGTTAACATGCGAGCACCAAAATGGCACACCTCGACTCGCAAATAAATGGTAGTGAATATATTGTCAAGAGAAGAAGAGATTAGTGGGATCTACTGTGTAAAGGCCTTATTTTGAGAGGAAAGACATCTTGTTTTCCAGAGGCAAAAACACGTATATTATTATCGATTTTAAAAATGTGGAAAGTTCCTGGGGAAAATACATATATTTGGTGTGCCAGAGAATTGTTGTGACACAGTTCGTAATTACACTACTGGGCTACGATCTTCGTTGTACTATATGAAACCAATCACAGCTGCGCTATTTGTCCGTATTGGACTTACTTTTTACATTGGGCGACACGTAAAAGATAAAGATAAATCGTTGAAAATTCTCCTATTGTCAATCATTCAAGGTTCTTCACCTAAGGCAATATATGGCCATAATCCCCCCAATCGTGCTGAGGACGTGTGCTCCAGAGTTGGTACCGGTTTTAACGCGTCTTTTCCGGTACTCCTACTCCCTAGGCGTAGTCCCACAATCATGGAAGACGGCTTTTGTCCAGCCGATCCCCAAAAAAGGCGACCGCTCAGACCCGTCCAACTACCGGCCTATCGCCATCACCTCCTTGTTCTCCAAAACAATGGAGTCCATTGTAAACTGCCAGCTCATGAGGTACCTTGAGGATCACAAGCTGATTAGTGATCGCCAGTACGGCTTTCGCCGCAGTCGATCAGCTGGTGATCTTCTGGTCTACCTAACTCATAGATGGGCGGAGGCAGTAGAGTCCAAGGGGGAGGCATTGGCCGTTAGTTTGGACATTGCGAAAGCCTTCGATCGGGTTTGGCAGAAAGCGCTTCTCTCGAAGCTCCCTTCCTATGGGCTTCCCGAGAAATTGTGCGATTGGATCACCAGCTTTCTTGCAGGTCGGAGCATCAAGGTCGTTGTAGACGGTGCAAGCTCCGATTGCAAGCCTATTAATGCTGGTGTTCCACAAGGCTGCGTGCTATCGCCAACGCTGTTTCTTCTGCATATCAAGGATATGTTGCAAACCCGTAACATTGATTGCTATGCAGATGACAGCACTGGTGATGCTCTTTACACCGGCCGAGCCAATATTTCTCGGGAAAACGTCTCCGAGTGCCGGGACAAACTTGTGTCTGAAGTCCAGTCTCTGCTGAACAGAGTCTCGGATTGGGGGCGACTAAATCTAGTCCAGTTTAACCCCCAGAAGACACAAGTTTGTGCGTTAACCGCTAAAAAGAACCCCTTTGTTGTATCTCCTCAGTTTCAAGGCACTCCCCTTGTTGCCTCAGCCAGCATCGGAATCCTCGGCGTCGACATATCGAGTGACGTGCAGTTTCGTGGTCACTTAGAAGAGAAGGCCAAATTGGCCTCTAAAAAGCTTGGCGTGCTCAGCAGAGCGGGACAGTATTTCATGCCGGCACACCGCCTGCAACTTTACAAGGCGCAGGTTCGGCCGCACATGGAATACTGTTCCCATCTCTGGGCTGGGGCTTCCCAGTACCAGCTCCTTCCACTTGACCGCATCCAGCGCAGAGCGGCTCGAATCGTCGACGACCGAGTGCTTTCCGATCGGCTCGATTCACTGGCGCTGCGAAGAGATGTTGCATCTCTGCATTTTCTTTCGCATATACCATGGGGAGTGCTCTGAGAAATTGTTCGGATTAATCCCAGCCGCCAAATTTCGTGAACGCACTACGCGGCAAACGCCCCGATATCATCCACACCATCTGGATGCTTGGCGGTCCACCACTGTACGTTTCAAAAGGAGTTTTCTTCCGCGTACAACCTCTCTGTGGAATAGTTTACTACCGGCGATTTTTTCGGACCGATACGACCTGGGGAGCTTCAAGAAAAGAGCTTACTCATTTATAAAGGGCCGGCAATGCACCTGCAATTCCCCTGGTGTTGCGGTTGATCATGGGCGGCGGTAGTCACTTAACATCAAGTGTTCCACATGCTCGTTTGCCGCCCCTTTATAAAAAAAAATATGGCGTTTGCAATATATCGTCGCCTGGATCCGGTCGTCATTTATTATTTTATTAGCTATAAAGTTACAGCCTCTACATACGTCCTACTGGGCACGGACCTCATTTCTTAGAAGATTTTTAGGGCATGGAAATATACGCCGCGCTGCCTCGATGCGTATAAGCGAACTTCACATGTCTTGGAAATATTATTATTCTTATTTCTCAGACATGCAGGTTTACTCGCGATGTTTTCCTTCACCTCCGAGCATGTAGTAAATCAGCACTTAAAATTGCAATCAACAATTTTATTGGTGCCGGTGGGGATCGAACTCGGGTTGCTCGTGTACTGTAAATCTATTCTTTATCGGTAATCGACATTTATTCATATCGAGTTAGTGTATGAGGTGACACTATTTGCCAACCACTCACGTACGTTCTTCGCACACTAGGGACATTTCGTTTTTGCTCAAGCCAATGATAGGTAGGTACCCCATTACCAATTCATACCCTTTAATAAATGTATGTCCGCGCACATACACTCATTTATTTTTTCAAACAATAATAAAAATTATTTTTACAAATCCGTTCAATACCTACTGTTGCAAACAATTGCCTGCTGCAACTTAACACTGGCTTAATTAAATGTTACTCGCTCTTATTTATCATCACCCATATCTTATCATCATCATAACAGCTCTTCGCAAGTCCACTGCTTATGTTCAGCAGTGGACTCTCTTCACAGTCTTCTCGATCGAAGTTGGATTATCTAGTCGCGCCATTTGTTCCACGTTAACGTACTCGTCCAAAACTTTGAGCGTTGTACTGCCAACAATTAACAGCATAGGTGTTGTAATGGGTGTTACACATGACTTTTGTCTTCTCCATGTTCATTTTAAGACCTATTCATTGGGAGACGGTATTGATGTCAATTAATATTTCGCATTATAGCATTTTGACGGACTCAAAGGCATAAATCTATTTAGTAAATGATCCTGCTCTGAGTTGGAATTCTGTTTCGATTATTATACATTTATTACATACGTATATATGTACGAACAAATTATTGGTTAATGATTTCTTATGTTTACGCGAACACTACACACTACTTTACAGCAGAAGAATGATTCGCGAGGCTATTGAAATTAAAAAACATCCTAATTTTAATAGAGAAGATGGCTGGGTGCTACTATCTGCTTGGGATAATGTAATTAAATTCCAACCCAAGCATGCAACAGCAAAACTTCACAATACTAGGGCACACTGAAATGATCGGGAATAGAATATTTCGGATTGAGTTATAATAAAATCTTTTTTAGAATTTGAATACTGGCCTCTTAGAATCTTAATGATGTTCAAACAATTAAAAAAAATGAATAAAAACAAAAATTATGTTGGTTTAAAGTTGACACGTCGTTAATAGAAATGGAGCTCACGCGTGAACATTTCCGTGCCATAATTTATCACAATTTTCGTCGCGGCTTAACTCAAAATAAATGTCTCAGCGAACTTGTTTCGATTTATGATGTTGAAGCACCGAGTCAAATGACAATATACCGCTGGTATGCCGAGTTCCGACGCGGTCGTGTGTCGCTCAGCACTGTTTCCTCTGCAGGTCGACCAAGAACAGCGGTCACGCCTGAAAACATCGCAGCTGTGCGAACTATTATATTAGATGACCATCATGTGACATACGAGCATCCTGTTATCAGTATCGGAATGACTGCAATTCAGTCGATATTACATAATGAGCTGTGTGTAAGAAAGCTAGTTTCCCGCTGGGTTCCCCACAATTTGTCCGAAGAGCAAAAGGC